CACACACACACACACACACACACACACACACACACACACACACTACCAGGGAACTATCCAACAGACACTGTGTTCGGCTTACTTCTCTCTATATTTCAGAAGAAAAGACGCAAATACAAGCATTTTCTTCTTGGTTTAGGCATAGTTTAGGGAAAGAAAAAAAAAAACTATATATTTTCAAGCCCAGACCCTGGAGATAAGCCAGGAGGAATCTGGTGACCGAAGTTATAGCCCAGGCAGCCATTCTGGGACTCTGTGTCTGGGCTGCCCATTCCTAAAAACATGTGATAGACTGAGTAGACAATGCTGTCCATTTGTTCCTCATTTTGAACAACTTGCTGGGACAGTATCATTTCCAATTAACTCAACATTAGGCAGGGAAGTTGGGTGTGAAAAGTGAATGTGACCCAAAGCAAGTCACTTACACTCTGGGTTTTACTTTGCAGCTAAAGCATAGGAAAATGAGTTAATTATCTCCCAATCAATTATTTGAAGATATAGCTAAAAAACAAAAATCTTGCTGAATGGGAAAATACCAGGTGAGATGGGCTGAAGCTAGATGACTCATCTCACTACAGGGTGAGCAAGAATGATCTGACGTGGAATAGAAGGGTGCAGAAGCCTGGGATTCGCTTTCAAAGCTCCGAACCCAGAATGTGGGCATTTTAATAGGCATCCCCAGCACTTCCAGCAGCAGGTCAGGCAAGAGCCACGTTTTGAGGAATCAACAATCAGAACGCTCTCTCAGCTGCCTCTCATCCTAGGACTTTTTGTTTGTGAGAAAAAAAAATCAAGCCTCTCACTGTTTTAAAGTGGAAACTGGTGTTCAAACAGGTCACAGAAACGTATGGGGCACGACAGAACGAGGTGGGAATGACTCGGGAGACAACGATTAGGAAATAATAAAGTTAGAGCGGAAGCAGCGTCATACAATGCAAACTCGTGAGCCCTTAAAGGGTCTAGGCTGTGCTAAACGTCCGTCCTCAAACCTCCTAAAAGCAAAATAACGTGCAAAGGCTTGGAATAAACTCCCTTTCACGGCACCAGCACCCAAGGCCACACAGGAGAAGTGATGCTCCTCGGGGTGTCTCTGTAGGACAAAATATTTAGTGTGGCTGCTTCTTACAACCTCCACTCTAAGGGTCCATGGCAGGGGTGGTCAAGTGGGAATGACTACTTTACGTGTGGGAGAATGCTCAACAACACAGAGTGAAACACTCCGAGTCACTGAACTCGCCATTCTCTCCCTGAATTCTCTATCAGCTTCTTAGGAGGGAGTGTTAAGGTGGCGGGGGAGAGGGGGAGATACATTTCCTCCGTCCATCTTGGGTTCATAGCCTGTGGCCTCAGGCTTTAGACTGTCAGACATCAGGTTAACAAAAGAACGTGTTTATTCATGTATTGTGTACACACACGGAGGACTCTGTGGCGGGTGGTGATTCAGAGGGGTGGCCAGAACACTTGGACATCACCTTAACAAAAGAACAAGGAAAGTGCAGGAACACCACTAGACAAAGAGAAGGGAATTTTGAGTTTCTAGGGTGGCCAATTTTGGGAAGGAAAATGAATAGAGAAATTTACTAGAAGACAAGGCCTGGTCTGGAAGGCTTGCTGGATTCCCGAGGAATCTTCTACAGGCTGACGAGGCTCTGCCCTTGTCTCTGTGTGTGAACATCAGTCCTCCAGATAAAGAAAGCATGGACACATTCACACATGCGCGTCCCTGACCTGGGCAAAGAGGAAAGCCGAGAGCTGTCCTTGTGTCCTTACGTTCACTTGTGTTGCTTAAAAAAAATTCCTTATACCACAGTGATATATTCCAGTACATTCTATGCCTGCCTAAGTGACACACACACACAAACACACATACACACACACTTGCTGTGAGTTTCATGAAACTAAAAGTATGCAAACCTTTCCTTTGAATTTGTTTCTCCTCATAATCACCGCCCTTCTGAACTATAGTATCCTCAAGGGTGGCTCTTTCATCCTGCTGTATTTACACCTTGCATTTCTCCCACTGCTGACCACACAGCTAGGTATGCAGGAGGCTTTCCATAAACACTAGTATTTATGAGTGCTGTGGTTACACCGATAGAGTGCCACCAGTGAGTCCTGCCCTCCCTGCACTGTGACAGCAACTTCACACATCCACTCCTTCTAACTTAACTGCCATTTGGGTATCAGAAAATAAGTCAGTTCTGAAGACACACAGCAAATAAGTTAGTGTACCTAAATTTGGCTCTGTCTGATTTACCCACCTACCTAATGAACAATTTGCTAATGAAGACATTTAACTGGAAAGTTAGAATAACCTTCATTTATACTAACAGCTGAGGGCTGGTCATCCAAGACCAGGTTCATCCTACACTTTGACCGGTCTGAATTGTTCACTTGGGGGGGCAGCACAGCTCTGCACATCCCAGATCTTGAATCTCTTAGAACCTGAATGATGATTTCCTGGCCAGCTTGTTAAATTCAAATGCGGTCCTTCAATGACTACCCAGATGTGTTTGCTTTTATGTAAATGACCCCATGAGCTGTTCCACCATTTAATCGCACTTATTTTTCCTCTCTCAACTGAGGTCTTGGTGTGATTATCATCGGCTTAGCCGTGACAGTGACAGCCATCACTGGTTTATCCACCTCTGCTATCGCCACAAATGGATATGTCAGAGGAGGTAATTAAAGTTGTGAGTCAGATCATCATTTGTAAGGTAAAGGCAACACAGGCTCCAACAGCTCACTGCTGACCTTTCTGGGGTGTTTTCAAAGGTAACGCGAGTTGGTTTCTTTTCTCCCCCAGGCAAAGGGGTGCAAGAAAAATGAAGAAGGGTTTAACCTTTGTCAAATCCCCAACTTTCTCATTCAGGTTCCTCTCAAGCAAGAGAGAAGGTCAGATGTCATGTTTCCTCTTTCACAGCCAGGGTAGCTTCTCTCCCAGGACATCAGCAGAAGTCGGCTTTTCCTTTCCAGGGCTGCACTTTAGACTGTGGGACGCTTGGATGCCACCCTTCATCATCATGAGTGTTTCTTGGACTTGATCTTTATGCCAGCATACTAACTCCATCTTCGTGGAAAGAAACCCCCCTGGGGCCCAAGGCACAGACCTGAAAAGCTAAATGAAAAGGCAGTAGAGGTTGCAGGAGTAGGGATCCCAAGGAAGAAGAGTAACATGTAATATCTTCTGTCTTTCATTGCTAACAGGTCTTGGAGTTCTTATAATTCTTCTTTCCACCATGGTAACCTCTATCACTGGGTTGTCAACTTCTGCAATAGCAACAAACGGGTTTGTTCGTGGAGGTAAAAATCTCTAAGATACCTAATATCCTCATCACGTGTTACGGGTAGGCACAAGTTTCTATATATTTGGTTACTGATGGGCACAAGGAAGTGTGGAGGAGCCGATTGCAGAGAGCAAGCACGGTGAGTGTAGTCCAAGTCCTCCCAGGTCACGGCTGACAGCATCCTGGCACATTACAGGTCCTGCTCCAGATGTGCGGAGTCCTTGGGGAAAGCTCTTATTTTCCAGATCAGTCTTCTTGCTGGTGTTTCTCGGGAAATGACTCCTCGGTATGGCTGCAGTTTTAAAGTACAGTGCATTTCAGGTGCCTCCTACCCGGTCGTGGAGTGGGACCAATCAGAACATTTCAGGTTTCTGCAGGAAGACTGACCTTCTGTGACCGACACTTCCCGATGTATTGGTGATCTTTCTACCTACTGGAGTCAAACACCTCTGTTGGGGGTTTTGCAGGTCTGGGAGTCATCATCATTGGCCTGAGCGTAGTAGTGACGACACTCACAGGTATTTCTATGTCTGCTATTTGCACAAATGGAGTAGTTCGAGGAGGTAAGCCAACTGACTTACTTTTGATTATAAGCTCTGGTTGCATTCCTGTCCAGCGGTGTTTAATAACTGGTTGTGAAGATTTTATGTTGCTAACTGGCCCCCAAGACTTGAAACAAAACAAAGCAAAATTCAGATAACGAGGTAAAATTCTCCTCAATTAAACAAGAAGAGACCTGGAGAAAGGGCTCCTTTGATCCATTTCCTGTAATGAGTCCCACTGGGTTCTCAGTACCAGGTGAGCTCTACTGGCGCCCTCCTTGGTCCTCTCCGGCTGGGTGCTCCCCAACATCCCACTTCACGGTGGTAATTCCCACACAGCCGACACTCCTGCACCCAGCCTTCAGGTTCTCCCCAAACACTCTGCTTCTATGACAACATCAAGAAAAAGAAAAATTAAAAAGTAAATAAATGAAACAATGAATTACTGTCAAGCTTTCAGGAGCAGGCAGGCCGGGGTAGAACACAAAGTAGATGAAGTTTGTCACTGTCCTAAGGGCCTCAGGGGTATGTTCACATCAGTACTGGTGCTAGAGGAGGTCAGAAGATGGTGGTAGACTTACAGGTGATTGTGAGCTGCTTGACTCAGGTCCTCTGCTAAAATAATACACGCTCTCAGTCACTGAGCCATCTCTAGCATGGTTTTGGTGTTATGAGACAATGTCTTACTCTGCAGGGCCAGAGTGGCCTTGCGTCCACCACAATCCACTTGTCTTAGCCTTCCCAATTCCTTGATTGCAGGCATGAGTACCACCCCTGCTACCCACCCCCACCCCCAAGCCCTACTCGGGGCTTTCTAAAAGGTCACCCTACCCCGTAACACATCTCCCCTCTCAGCATATATTTTATTAGCTGCTTTTTTAAAGATTTATTTTACTTTATGTGCATGAGTATTTTGTCTGCATCTATGTGTATGCACCCTGTGTGTGCCTGGTGCCCGAGGTAGTCAGAAGAGGCATCAGAACCACTGGAACTGGAATTACGTATGGTCTTGAGCTATCACATGGGTGCTGAGAATTGAACCTGGGTCCTTTGCAAGAGCAACAAGTGCTCCTAACTATGGCGTCAATTCTCCAGCCCCATCTGTCTCTTGTTTTGACTGTTAGGCCCACGTAACTGTCTAGCCAATTTGTTGAGCAAAGTTAAGGGATTTGCTCTACCAGATTAAACTCCATTTTGAGAACTTATCTATACTGAGCACAGTTCCTCCTCTGCAAAAGGCTCGCTTTTGTTCTGAGTCTATTCCATGTTGAGTCGCGGACTCCCATGACTAGCTCCACTTAAGAAGTCATTACGGTGTCCCTGTCCCTCATCTAGACTGCTCTAGTGTCAGTCACTGGCTCTAGGTTCTGAAGTGGTCACCCTCAGTTTTCATGTCACCGAAATGGGTGGACATACACAAAGCTATTCTTCAGCGTTCAAGGAAGAACACAGGTTCCCAGCCCTCCTCCTACTTTTCTTTCCACTCCACATCCTTACTATGGGAATTCAAGCTTCGTTAGGCTAAAGCCAGAAAACGAGGCTGCTTTACAGAGTGGGTAACACACACCTCGATACAGCTGCTCCTTTTACAGATCAGCTACCAAAAAACTGCATGCGATAAAATGGAAGTCAGAAATAAAAAGAGAAAGAAAGAAAAAAAGAAAGAAAACAACTGCTTTGTTCTTTTGAGTCGGGGCTTTATGTAGCCCAGGCTAGCCTCAATTTTACTATAGCTGAGGATGACCTTGAAAACTTAATCCTCCTGCCTCTACCTCCAAAGGGCGAGGATAACAGATTTGTGCCATAATTACCAGAAAAGGATGAGTTCTACCATTTCATTTTCTACCCTGGTCTGTCGATTTCTGGAAATTTTGAATCTAAAACTTTACTTCAATTACATTATTTATTTGGATACTCTAATGATTTTTTTAAAAAAGACAAAGCTTTTGAGTAGAGCTTATCGTTATTATTTATTAATTTAAATCAGGATTCTAACGTGTAAGTTTCAATAGTTTGAATTTTATTGGCATGTACCTTTCGGGCTATGTACAGAGTACAAGGTGGGTCTGACCACCAGTACTCATTATGATGACACAGGACATATTAAATGAATAAGAATCCATAATATTCTTCTGGGGCTGATTAAGAGTTGGAGTTTAACTCTAGAGACTGAAGATCTTGGCATCTCCTCCAGTGACAGACACTGCTCTCTTGTTGCAGGTGGCGCCTACTACCTGATTTCTCGGAGCTTAGGGCCTGAGTTTGGAGGGTCTATAGGCTTGATCTTTGCTTTCGCCAACGCAGTGGCTGTCGCTATGTACGTGGTGGGGTTTGCGGAGACTGTGGTAGATCTCCTTAAGGTAATGAAAGTACTTCTTTGTGTAGACAAAGTAACTCAACCTTCTTTTACAGGGCCCTAGGGGATAGTTTCATGTCCAGATATGAGGAGGAGAATTCAGTATCAGGGAGGAGCGAGCCCCAGGCATAACGTCAGAAGGTCCGGCTTTCAGTTCAGCTTCTCGTCCTACCATCTGGGAGGCATTAGACCAGTTTCCTTGACGTCTGAGGCTTGTTTTCTAAAGCGGAAAGAGGAGCTAATTCACTGCTCCGTGCATTTCACACGAGTTCCGTGCAGATCAGATAAAAAGGTTATGTGTGGAGAGTGTGTAGAATAAGAAGCTTCAGAAAGAAGGCAGGCATCATTTCCTGTAGACACACCACGGTTGCTCACAAGGTTTCCAAAGATGAAGAAAGGTCAAACATGAGGACAACTTGCTGCAGAAAATGAGGCCTTTCTTAGCTAAGCGCCCTACCCAGTGCTCTGGGAACAAGCTCTTAGAGCCTATGCAGTGTGGTAACAACTGAGCTTCCTCACCTTAAAGGCCTAGCTGAGTTCTGCTGGTGAAAGTATGTCTATGTGGAAATTAGATGAATAAATGAGCCTATTGTGTATTTCTTAAGGTACGTTCTCTTAATATTACTGAGTTTGTATTCTCTGTTATTAAGTTGAACAACACTTATTTTCCAATGCTCATATTGTAAACCACCCATTTTTATTCTTCTAAATTCCCCTTGGCACATGAAAGTGGCTAGTCCTTTTGTGGAAGCACAACAGAAAAGGTGTGGACATACATACTTTGAGTTAATGCTGCAATGTCTCCTGAAGCTGTGACTAGAAGGAATTTCTAAATTCTAGCCCCTAGCCTTGCCTATCAAAGGCCTATATCACAGATAAAGTAAAATTAGAATTTTTTTTGCCTTCCAGAACTTACAAACACTTATTTTCTTATTATCCCATATGCCCCTAGGCATCTGTATGCACTATCTTTTCTTCTTGTTGAATATTATAAAAACTGCTGAATGCAAAGAGCTATCTCTAATCACTTGAGTGATTTCCTCCCCCCAGGAGAGTGACTCAATGATGGTGGATCCAACCAATGACATCCGGATAATCGGTTCCATCACCGTGGTGATCCTGCTAGGAATCTCAGTAGCTGGGATGGAGTGGGAAGCGAAGGTGGGTGTCTCTAAATAACACTGTAACAAGTGCTGGCCAGGCCCTGAGTTAATCACAACAAAAGGAACACCAAATGCACAAAGAACAGCTGTCATCTTTTCATTACAGCAAAAGGTATGAGTGCATGCAAGGTGGACATCATAACTCAGTAGTCAGACTTCCCCTTGGGCTGCCAGCTCACAAATAATGACATTGAGACTTATTATTAATTATGAAAGCTTGGCCTTAGCTTAGGCTTGTCCCCAGCTAGCTCTTATAACTTAAATTAACCTGTTTTTATTAATCTACATTGCCACGTGCTTTGGTTACCTCTCCTCTATACCATATGTCCAACTTCTTTAGTGTCTCGCTGGCATCTCTCGTGTGCCTAGATTCATCTCAAGTTCCTCTCTCTGCCCAGAAGTCCCACCTATTCTCTCCTGCCTCACTACTGGCCATTCAGTTTTTTTATTAAACCAATCATAGCAACACATCTTCCCATGGTGTAAACAATATTTCTCGACAAGTACCAAGTCTGGTCAAGACTCAAGGTTATGTACCAGGTCGTCAGGCCATGCGTCACTTTGTTTTCTGCCACTGTGGTCACACAGGCAGCAAGGTTGATGCATCTTCGTGTACAACTATTGTGTACAACTATTGTGCAGACCAGCAGCACGGAACACTGGGAACCCAGGTCTCATCCTCAAGCCCTGAGCAGAGAGCAGGGCCACATATTAAGCTTCAGCTGTAAGGTGAGAATGTCCATTTCGCTGTTGCTTCTAACTTGGTCCTGTTCCTGTGGTGTCTCAGGCTCAAGTGATCCTCCTGGTCATTCTTCTCATTGCCATTGCAAATTTCTTCATTGGAACTGTCATCCCATCCAATAACGAGAAGAGATCCAGAGGCTTCTTCAACTATCAAGGTAAGCAGGGCTAATCAGTCGCTTCTCAGTTCATGTGTCTACATTGTTCTCCCCCATTGCTACCTCACTCACCCATCTCCAGCCACCAGAACTTCAGTGCAGTCCAGGAAAGGGCCTAGAGTTGAATTCAGGAGAGCCATGGTTGTGTTTCAACTCTTGGTTATCAACTGAACAGGTTGTACATATCCTGTTTGCTTCTCAGATTTTTCCCACTAGATTAATAATGACAACTCCCTGAGGAAACTTTGAAAAGGAACTATGGAAAGTATTTTGTTGCTGGAGGACGTGGAGTGGCCTTAATAATTTCACCAATCGTATTTAAAATGTAAAAGTAATTTTGAGAAGTCAATCTTTTTCAGTTGAAGATAAGAAGGTCTCTTGAAAGTCCTTGAATCCTGGATTATCACTCAGTGGCTAGACAATAGGAACAGAGACTACAATAGGAAAGGAACCTGCAGCTGGGAAAAATAATCAGCCACTGCTGAGCACTTAGGTCAAATCAAGTCCTCTTGTCTTCCTGGAAGACTTTGTAGCATCCAGCCTTGCTGGGACATAACCTGCTGCCGATCACTGTCAAACTTTCAAGCAGTATGGCTTAGGGGACGGGAGAGATTGCTCAGCCTTTCACAGCAGCTCACAACCATCTTTAACTCCAGTTCCAGGGCATCCAACACCCTCTTCTGGCCTCTGTAGGCACCAGGCAGGCATGCAGTATACATACATATATGCAAGGTAAAACAGACACTTAAAAGAAATGATGGGTGAATTACTTACATATTTCCTTGTGGTAACATCATAGCGTGTGAAGCTGACTTTTGTCTCCCCAGTCCACTTCTACTTTCCTATTTTCTACCCTAGCTTACTCAATACACAGCTGAGGTTTTAAAAAATATCATTTGCAGCCGGGTGCATTCCTTTAATCCCAGCACTCAGGAGGCAGAGCAAGGCAGATCTCTGTGAGTTCAAGGCCAGCCTGGTCTACAGAGCAAGATCCAGGACAGGCACCAAAACTACACAGAGAAACCCTGTCTCAAAAAACAAAACTATACATATACATATATATGTACATATATTATATATATATATATATAAAATTTGCTTCATTATGTATTCAGCTATCAGCACCTGTGACCCGCTCCCCATTTTTAAAACCAGATCGTTACTGTGGTTCCTTTATTGACTTTGGGCTTTACTGTCCTTCCTTTTCTGTCTTTTCCCTGACTCTGCATCTCCTGATGTTTCCAACTTTCTTTCCCCCTTTTCTCCTCCCAGATTTCTTCCTTTGTACAGTTTCTTCTTCTTTGTCTTCCTTTCCATCTTTTCATTCAAGTGATTTGGTGATTTGGTGACCATCTGTAGGTCGGTGTTGCCCTACGGACAAAGCGCATCACCATTCTCATTCTCTGAGAATTTGGTATAAGGACCTAAGACCAGAACTCTGGGAGGAGGAGCAGAAGACTTAGAACACTAGGAACAGGTTTACAGTGCGGCCTCCCTCCCACAGGTCTATTTGAGTTTCTCAAAGGCCTGGAAAGGCAGGTTGCTTAGAGATGCATACATGTGAGAATGTGGTTATGAGGGGGAATGTGTAGTGTGTTTGTGAGAGTGCTAACATGCTCCTGCAAAAATTATTTTTTCTTGGCAATATTTATTTGTTTATATATTTGTTTATAAAGATACATATATATATATATATATATTGCTAGGCATTCTTTTTTTTTTTTTTAGACAGGGTTTTTTAGACAGGGTTTCTCTGTGTAGCTTTGCTCCTTTCCTGGAAATCACTTGGTAGCCCAGGCTGGCCTCAAACTCACAGAGATCTACCTGGCTCTGCCTCCTGAGTGCTGGGATTAAAGGTGTGCGCCACCACCACCCAGCTGTTTTTATATATTTTAATTCAACTTTTTTTCATACAATATATTCTGATCACAGTTTTCCCTCCCCTGAAACTCCTCCCTAATCCAATTCTACCCATCTCCTCACCCACCCAACTCCATGCCCTTTCCTTCTCTCTCTCTCTCTCTCTCTCTCTCTCTCTCTCTCTCTCTCTCCTTAGAAAACAGGTAAACAAACAAACAGAATAAAAAAAAGAACAAAGAACAAAAAACACAGACTCACACAAAAAACGAAACCCATAAAGCACAAAATCAGAAACCCTTAATATACAAGCAAAAGAACTGTAAGAACAACAACAACAAAAAAATTCCAACAAAGCAATATGAGACAAAAGTCCACAAAAATACCATTGAGTTTGTTTTGTATTGACCAGCCACTGCTTGGTATGGGGCCTCTTATAAGTGTAGTTTGTATGCTCAGTAAGACCCCACTGGAGAAGACTAGTTTTTTCCTTCTAGGAGAATTCCTTATCCCTTTTTTCTATTTCTTCTGTATTCAAAGAAAATAAACAAGTGTGGCCTCTAATGACCTTTTCAGAGCTGTCTAGAGGTCTAAGACCTAAATATGTATCTAAAATGATAGATGCTCTGGTACTTGGGGAACAGTAACCAACAGTTTAGGGTTAAGTCTGTTTCCATTCTAAGGATCTATTTCCATTTGGAAATACAGAAGTCAAGAATGTAGGCTTCTACAGTGTGGCAAAACCCAACAGGATGATGTTCCCTTTGCTTGCATTTCAGCATCCATATTTGCCGAAAACTTTGGGCCAAGCTTCACGAAGGGTGAAGGCTTCTTCTCTGTCTTTGCCATCTTTTTCCCAGCTGCCACTGGGATCCTTGCTGGTGCCAACATCTCTGGAGACCTGGAGGTATGTAGTTCCCTCTGCTTTGTAGCCCTTGTGGCTAGACTGTAGTTGTTGGTAGCATGAGAAGCTGTACAGACTAAATATGACTTAGGTCCCAGAGACTCAAGAGTGAAGGTTTCTGCAGGATTTCTTGGTTGTTCTCTCTTTCTCTCTCTCTCTCTCTCTCTCTCTCTCTCTCTCTCTCTCTCTCTCTCTCTCTTTCTCTCCTTTAATTTTAAATCTAGGCTCTTGATAATATAGTATAAATCTAAAACCCATATTCAGTGCCATCCAAAAGCAGAGTATATTCACAGGAAGTTATTTTTCAATAAAATGAACATGTTTTAGTGACTTACTATCAGAATCTTTCTTTTCCTTTAAAAAATCGTAATGACTAAGAATACAAGACATTTGAGGACAAACAAAACCAACTCGGCAATAGCAAAGCGAGCAGAGTCTGACATGAGAAGCCTGAGTACAGCAGGGAGTCTCTTGCCCATTAACTAGAGACAACCTGGTGAGGCCGGAGAGCCTCACATCTTCACAGGAAAGGAAGTGGCTGTAGAGGCTCAAATTCTGTGGAAGTAGGGGCTTGACCTTTGGCCATATTCACTGTGTATCTTCTGAGATAGCACGGCCTCAACAGGTACTGACTGAGTGAGTGAATTAAGGTGTTTAGATTCACTATGCTAGCGACCACGCTGCCACGGTAAATTCTTGAGCAGACAGCGGCATGGTGAGGTCATGTCAAAACTCAGAAAGTCACAAACTTGGGCAAAACATTTCAGCTCCTCTCCTCGCTTAATCAAATTTAGTTATGAACTCCCGTTTTCTCACTAACTAGGAAAGTATCATCACACCGATTTAAGCTCCCAGAAGCTACAGACAGGCTTTTAAATTGGAAAATCTTATGCTTTCTTTAGACTTCTTAAAAACAAGATGCTAGCCGGGCGGTGGTGGTGCCCGCCTTTAATCCCAGCACTCGGGCAGAGGCAGGCGGATCTCTGTGAGTTCGAGGCCAGCCTGGGCTACCAAGTGAGTCCCAGGAAAGGTGCAAAGCTACACAGAGAAACCCTGTCTCGAGAAAAAAAAAAAAAGGTGCTTAGTCAATTCATCTTACCTAATGCCTGAATGAAGGCCATGCAGGAGACAGCCTTTGTTAGAGTTAGGAGCGATGGAAAGAATTCTCTTACCCTAAGCCACAGTAAGAAAGCATCATAGGTCATAACCAAAAGCAATGCCTTCCGATGTTTCCACATCTGTTCTATCTGATTCTATTCTCCAACACTGGTTTCACCTCATTGAATTGATTTCATGGCATAGTAGATGAGGGAGAGGAGCCTCAGACTTAGCTAATGGGGTTGAAACAGCAGTAGGACAGCACAGCACAAGAGTCTGGGGAACAAAGGGAGTCTGGAGCTCCAGGAAGGAAGGCAAGCCTGGAAGCTACTGCATGGATGAATTTATCCAGGTAGGTATAAAAGAGAGGCAAGAAATCTAAGGAAATTTGCAGGGGGGCAGGGGCACTCAGGGAGGGAGGAAGGGAGGAAGGAGAGACAGACAGACAGACAGACAGACAGACAGACAGACAGACAGAGAAACTATTCAGCAAATGGAGAAACCAACAGCCCATAGGCCCAGGAAAAAGGGAAGTGAAAAGTAAAAGTATCTGGGACACCAGAGCATAGTTAAAAGCCAGAGTAGCCAAACATGTTAGCTCCCAAAGGTGAAATATTCTGGACAATGGCAAGGAAACTTCTGTATCTCTAGACTTGATTTCTCTCTGAAGGTGAAACCAAAATAAATATAAAAATAATTAATAATAGTCGAGTCAGTTTAATTTAGGAAATATTGTTTATTCAATATACGAAGATATAGGTGAATACTCTGCTTCCAGACTCAGACTCCTCAAGATGGCTCCTCGCACTGCAGGGAGGAGTGACCAGGAACAGCATAATGGGTGCACAGAGCCCCATCCTGAGCATTCCGGGTGCAACAGCTGTAGCAGGACAGGAGCTGCCCTGAAAATCGGGGTCTAGGAGAAGATTTGGGAAATATTTCTAAGATGCAAAATTAGGATGTGGTTGTTACACCCAAAAAAGCAGAAACCTAATTGATTCCTTACTTATATTCGGTCCTGGCTGGGGGGCACTTTTAATGATGGGAAGGAGAAGTAGCTTGGATTTGGGATTAATTCTGGAGGAGGGTGAAAACTAAGAATGAGGCAAATTCCCAAGTGTCCTCTGTCAGCAGCAAGACTAAACATTGCCGTTTCGGTCTGATCTTAGAGTACAGGCTCATACATCAACACACTGACATCACATGTTACCCGTTAGTGCCGTAGAGTCAAGGTGTCCCTGATGTAAGGTGGACTCCACAGCTTTAGAGCTTTAAGGAGGCAGCTTCAAGGGAGAGCCATCTTCGTGTCTGCATCACAAGATTGCCTTCCACACTCCGCCTCCTATCCTGTTATGCTCCAGTTCAGTCGGTTACAACTTCACCCAGATCCCATGAAACTTTTGTGGGGCTTTTGGGAGGTGCTCATACATGAGTGCTTGTGAAGGCCAGAGGTCAACATCAGATCATTCCACACATCACTCGCTTTGGTTTGGTTTGGTTTGGTTTGGTTTGGTTTGGTTTGGTTTGGTTTGGTTTGGTTGGGTGATAGTCTCACTGGAACCTGGGAGTCATCAACCAGGCTAGACTGGCTGGTCAGTGAGCTCCAGGCATCCACCTTTCTCACCTCCCCAGTGCTGGGATTCTAAGTGTGCCCCACACTTGCTTTTGTTCCTGTGTTCTTTTTAAACATGATTCTAGGAATTGACCTCAGCCCCTCACTCATGCTTACACAGCAGACACTTTACTGAGCTACCTCCAGCTCCCAATACATTCTTAAGCAATAAAATGAAAGGTAAAACATGATGTGAATTAGATTAAGTAGGGCCCATTTCAGCCACACTGCCCTCGCCTCCCTCCCAGGAGCTGTTGTATTGCATGCACCTGCACATTTGCTCTGGAGACAATGGTGTGGAAGGAAGAGGCTGGGTAAATGTGTACCAGCGAAATCCCCATATGCAGATGTTCCTAGAAGAATTGGAGCATATGGATTAGTGGCTGCATAAAGCTGGTTACAATGCACCCATGTGGTGCAGGTGTGCATGGTTAAGTCATGATTTCCAGTGGTTGGGCTGTGTCTGCATTCACCAAGTGTGACCTTTTCAATGGACTTGATCATCATATTTAAGTTAAAAAAAAAGTTCCAACTTCATTTGCCTGTATTGATGAGACCTGTGTCCCCCAGCCAGGAGACCACTGCCTACTGGGATTCTACTTTTCTCTGCTCAGTATTTATTGACTCTTTCTGAATGCCAGATAACTGCCTGTATAAGAAAATCATGCATCAAAATATCTGTTTAATAATTCTTAAATTGAATTAAATATAATCCAATATTCTGCTTGAAAGTCAGTTTGATATAATTTACCAATCCCTTCCAAAACCAGGTATAACATGGTAAATTAAGTATCATGTGGATTCAATTCAATGTATGCACATACATTTATAAGCAAGAGAAAAGCTTATTTTCTGGTATAGGGTTGGCCTTGCCTCTTTACTGAGCTTACTTGTGGAAATGAAGAATTTAGAGAGACTGTAGAATTTAGTAGATGATCCCTTTTGCTCAGCCAGAACTGTGTTTTTTTGTTTTGCTTTGTTTTGTTTTTCTTTCCTTGTTTTAATTAAAGGCAAGCCTAAGCTCAGTATAAGACATACATATGCCCAGATATTATCAAATCAACATGCCAGGTATATCTGTATCTGATGCTTCTTCACAGTTCAGAGAGAGAGGGAGAGAGAGAGAGAGAGAGAGAGAGAGAGAGAGAGAGAGAGAGAGAGAGAGGTCTGTTCTACTACAACATCTCTCTTTAGAAGGGAGGGTTCTCTTCAGTTCAGCAGTGAGGTTTTGTTTGTTTGGTCTTGTTCCTTTAAAAAAAGATTTATTTATTTATTTATTTATTTATTTATTTATTTATTTATTTATTTATTTATTTATTTATTTATTTATTATGTATACAGCATGTATGACTGCAGGCCAGAAGAGGGCACCAGATCTCATTACAGATGGTTGTGAGCC